AGGCTACAAACTCTAACAAACATCCACCTAAACTTTCGCATTTACAATATTAGTATGATAAAGTACGTCAACAGATAAGTTATAAAACAATCACATAAGAAAGACACAAGAATTTATAATTTAACAGTGGAAGTGCCCACTTTAACATCTTAGCACGAATGGGCCGGCACGCCCGGTGTAATACCACGACCACACAGAAGACAGGCGTGAAATGGAAGCAATTCCGTGTTTCGTCTGATGAGTGTGGTGCCAGAGGCCAATTTAAGTCCGTTTCACTTTACAACCCTTTTCTTATAAGGAGAGGTTGGGAAGGGAAAGTGGATTTGACAGTGGAGGAGATGCGTAGGAAGTGGAAATATCTCCTTTATGTGCGTCTCCTCCTCTTTCGGATAAGGGTAGGCAACGCGTCTATGGGCAGCGGTCGCTTCGCCACTTAGGCGGATTCAGGTGGCCGCTTGCTCGTTTGCCACCTTATGTTATTAAAAAAAAATTATAACAGATCCAATTATAGGTAAACAACATTATTAGTGAAAAAAAAGAAAACATCACGGTTATGTGACACTAAACGTGATCGTAATGCATATTGACAGAAACAGTTATCAAAAAATGTACTTTTTAAAACCATGACCCGCTACGTAATGGTAACTGAATTCTCTAATTAACACAACTAAGGCAGAACAACATCCAATAATATGTACCTCTATGTACGACATAATGTACTCGCACATACACTGGTATTCACGTGAAATAACTTCGGATCGGAAATCCAATGCATTGGTGCTTGATTTGTGTATACTGTGCATTCAATTGACCTCTTGATTACCTTAACCTGATATTGTATATATTAGCTTTGCTATAATCAGTGTTAACTTACTTATTAATTTATATCAACAGTATTAATCGAATTAAAATATCCAAATTTTTACTGTAATAAAATCTTGTATTACATCGACACAGAGCGGAGGCTGTATTGCGAATCGAGTACACAAGCCAACTTGCTAGTATAATGAGCTCGTAGAGGTGGCTCCGGCGTAGCCAGTCGCGTAGGAGATTCCGTAGCGGCCGGTCGCTATGTACTACGAAACGGCTACGCTCATAGGCGACCGATGTTGCTTACCGCGTTCTATAAAAAACCTCTTTTAGATATTTACTTCTAGCTTAGTTATTTTATAAAGTGGTTCAAAAGTGTATCTTTGTGCAGTTTGCTTCTTTAGAATAAATTTAAATAAAGTTTTTCTACTAGTTAGGAAGTTGCAGTGAAATAATAAACGTCCAGATGCAAAGGATTTGTCATCTGTTTGTGTTATTGCTTTGTCTCCTCGATGGTAAGTCTGGGATTGAACACTAATTTATATAAAACATTACATAGAGTAACTAGTAATTAATTGTTTTTTTTTTAAATAAATGAGACTATTATTAATTTAATTTTTGGAAACATTTGTTAATATTATACTTTAAACTTGTCATAAAACATTTTAATGTAAGTTTTTTTATAACTTACCGTTAAGATTTAAATCTATTATTATTTTCATACCTCTATATAACTTAATTTGATTTAAAAATAACTTTCTGTTTTACTCATAAAGATTTTTTCCAAATTGTTAATTTAAAATGAACATATTCGGTGGTACACATCAGACCTACTAACAGCCGCCGGCAAACCGTAAGCCGTCTCACTATCGGCTATGTGGTAAAAATCGCTATGCATTTATAGTAAGCAATTACACGTAACACGTTAGATAGTAAAGAGTATAAAATCGGTTACAAACTATGCACTCCACTACACAACACTAGCGATTGTCATTTCTGTTAGTCATAGAAACAACAAATGTTAAGGAAATTCAAGAAAATTTAATCATAAACCGAAGGCACTCACTTCAGTCTTCTCTACATCAATCAACGTGCAGGAATGTTAATATCCGAACTTCAAGTTAATTTTCAGCAAAGTTTATGCGAGTAAAGTATTTCTATCAAGTTACTAATTTGATAAGTCATTTTAGATGCCATATTGTTACATTGTCTGTGGTTACATATTTATTTAACAACATTAAATGAACAGAAATGTAAAACAATCAAATGTATTCTACATTTTAAAGCACAAACCAAAATTCCACCACTAACCAGTTCAGTTGCATTGTTCACTCCGGTGTACGCTCGCATTGTATTCACATTTTACACCAGTTTTGTTCAATTAAAAGCTGAAATGTTAAAAAATTCCGCGAATTGCAAACTATGGGGTGATATTTAACTGCACATGAATATAGGAATTATTTGCTCTCTATAAAGCAGTTTTTGTAACACGGTTAACTGTACCCAATTGACTCAGGAGGTTATATTTTATGTCGGTTTGTAATAAAACTCTATTGTAACGAATCGATTTTAAGAATGTATGACCTTCGATTAATATTCTTCCTCTGAGTGTCGCAGTTTTTTTATGGAGTAGGAACTGTTGGTCGCGACTTCGTCCACGTGAAATTAAGAAAAAAATGTACGCCTATGTCACTCACAGATAAATTACCTTTCTAACGGTGAAAGGATTTTCAAAATCGGCTAAGTAATTTTGTGAGTTATTTTAATACATAAAAAAATACAAATCTTTCCTCTTTATAACATTAGTATAGGTAAGTAAACACAATAGTTTGGTAAATATGACAAAACTTTAGTTGAGTGTTGAGGTACATGGGTAGAGGTAGGCCTACAGATAGATCGATAGCGTGTATAACCTCAAGAAGGGAATGAGGACTGATATGAGGAAAAAAAGATTAACTTGATGATGTATAATGAATTTGTCAAAAATAAAACGACGAAAACGACGAAAAATTTCACCATCACCAGCGTACCTGCTAAAATAAATTCTGCGAGTTCTGAGCATTTCGAGTCGTAAAATCTACTTTTCTGTTGAACATTTTTAGGACGTCCTGAAGCCTGTCAGTTGCTGCGACGTTTTCAGCGCTGAGGGAATGTTTTATATTATAATCCACGTGTACAGAGTACGCTGTAAAGGTATTAAAGTTTTTGTAAAAGATTAAAAGTAAAAAGAATTGTGTTTAGTAAAAATTTATACGCAACTCTCTGATGTAACGAGAATTATCAATTGAAATGATTAGAGGTACGTAAGTTAACATTAAATGTAACGAATATTATAAATGGAAGAATTGAAATAGATGTATGGATGGATGTTCGTTAGCAGGGGACTCCAAAACATATGAATGGATCTAGGTTTCTGGCACTAACATAGATGACTGTCTGGGAAAATGCGTAAGCTTATTACTTAGTGTTTTTATTGAATTAAGCAATAAAAATCGCGTATGTACTAATAACAGTAGGTAAGTAAAATAAGCCTCGTAGAGTTTAGGTCATGAGCGGGTCTCAAGCAGATGTAGGTTAAGTCCACTTCGGAGATGCACATGTCTGTACTCTATACACACATACACAAATTAAAGAGGAAATAAAGTCAAGTGCAATTTATTTATTATACATGTGACAAAGTTAGCTTAGCACTCGAGTATAATATAAAATGTATTTCTAACATAAAATAATAACCATTCAGTGTAAATAGTAAAGGTATTAGAGAACCGTCCGCTCAGTTCAGGTGAAATGTGGTTTATTTCGGATGCATTCACATTTCACGCTCAGCGAAGTCACAGTAATTGCAATTTCAGTGCGCGGACTTTACATTGATGAATAGTTGCCGAACTCCCCGCCAGGCGGCGCTGACTCGACACTTGTGCAAATCAAACATCGCTCCAACTTATAATGTAATCCAAGTTTATCAATGCGCTACCTTGCTAAAGTTAGACGAGAAATTAAACATCTCTATAAACGCAACTTGACTGAATCAGGAGGTTAACAGTTTTGTATGTAAGTGGGTTTGGATGTATGTAAGGTTCTATGTACCCTTATCGTGTATCATAAACAGAACTTTTCGTAAATTCATGGGTTATTTAACTAAAACGCTTCACAATTTCTAAAATCTTAATAAACACAAAACATTCAACATTTTGTGTATCGGTAGTTTTTAGCAAAAGTATTTCGACAAAGCTTTTAGAATAAGCTCTCCCGTAAATAATACACACAATCGACATCATAACAAGACATTTCAACTTCCAGTTCCGCTCGCTTCGTGGCAATATTTTTTTGGCTTTCGACCAAAAGCTCGCGTCTCAACTGCGAGGGCGAGGGTAAAAAATATGGTTAAAAGCGGTGCCGTGTTTTGGCAAATGTACGAGTAAGTCGAGATGAAATGTATGCGAAACTGAGAGAAAAACATCACAGAATTTTTCGGTTCCCACGTGAGAGTTAATGATGTTTTGCAGCAAAAAGCGTAAGCTTTATATTACATAGGAATCTGTAATTATGCAAAGGTATACCGTAGGTTTACATGGGATAATTAAACCCGGAAATCGCTCCAGCAAATCCTGTTTATGTGTAAATTGGATCGTGCAAATATGCTTTGTGTTTTGATTCATAACATATCATTAAAACATTGTTTAATCGAAATTCAAATGCTTAATCTGTTCCTCATATTCGAATTAAATTTAATTGGTTTATTGGAAACTAATTATGATATGAACTGTGGAGTTGGGTTGAATTAGAATTACTATTGAAATTGCGGAAATGTACATTTTAAACAATTACATTTGAACAAACAAACTATTAAAAGTACAAGCTTCTGTAATTATAGATATTTGTTCGAAATTCAGAACATCAATAAGGATTAACGTTAATAATTTTGAACGGTCACCGTAAAATGTAACAAAAAGGGAACAAAGCAAAAAAATAATGAACGTACTGCGGTTGAATAATATTATTTAACGTGGAGCCCGCGTTTTTGTCATACCATAAAGCAGGGAGAAACTAGATAAGTCCAAATTAGCATACGAGATGTAAACGCCGCGCACACGGAGCGTGGACTTTATACGAAGTAGCGCCGGTAAATGTTCACTCACAAATAATAAGCGAAGAACTGTGACGTAGATCTCAGTTGTCAGTTACTCGCGGGGACTGATTGTGAGCATACGTGACACAAATAAAGACTGTAACTAGTGACATGATATACAATCGTCAGTTACTAGGTTCAAAGTTTAAGAAAATTTTAATAATTAGTATGAGTGTTAATGAATTGTGAAGTTTACGTGATAAATCTGAACTCATGAGAGGAATTTGTCTGTTCGTCTTCGTGTTTCACTGTTCGCTCGATGGTAATTATATTTAAACTTTAAACATAACTTGAGTATAATAAAAATGTGTACTAATTTAGATTTAGAGAGATTCTGTCTTTTTTCATGTCATGAAATACTTTAGTTTGTGTTTAAAATAAACGCTATTATCAAACTTTCTTAATACAACATCAGATTAGAAAATAACTCGTAGAATAAGCTCAAACGAAATACAAAATAAACTTGTGTAAACTGTTTAATTAAAGGGCGACGGAAAAGGAAATAAGAATAAACAGGGTTGACATGACTGTGAGAGTGGCGTCACGTGTTATCAAAACTCTGCGCGGAAATTTAAGTGTCAGGACGCGGATGTAATAGAGCTAGAGTTGTTCACGTAAATCTGACGCATTCACTCAAACAATACTGACGAATACACTAAGGTAATTTTGACGAATTAAATCAAATATTGACGAACATAGCCATACACTTACACACAAAAATACGTTGAAGTTAGTACTCACACATATAACTTTATGTTCTCTGTTTGCTTTCCCCGCTAGGTGGCGCGCGTTGCATTCATGCCTTTGACGTCCCTCAACGACCCTTTTTATTTCATTTGGGATTAATTACAAGCTATTTTGTTCTCATTTCCACTCTGAATACACTCATTACATGAGTAACTTCCATTTATAAGACTGTTAAATGAATTACATATCTTCATTCATGTTTTCTGTTATATTAAAATGTCAGACAAAATACTAATCCTTTTCAATTGCACTCAATAACCTTTTAATAATTCCTGTAAAGAAAAGTGCAATGTTAATGTCACTTGCCTTCATTTAGGCCTCTCTTGGCAATGTTTACTTCCAACTTGCAACAGCCTGTGTAAATTCCATTACGAGCTCCGCTAAAAGGAAAACTACGTCGCGTTGCCTGAAATTATAGTACTTTTGGGAAAATTATTCTTATGACGTTTTCTTTTACTGAAAAATACCTTTTGTTTTCCGGTTAAAATGTTATTTATGTTGTACTATTTTTCTGCTCCAGTAGAGAAATAAATATTACGTTTGTTAAAGTGAAATAAAACTGTGGCTAATAAAAAAAATATTAAGTTTATTATAGATACGAGCTGTTGCCCGTGACTTCGTCCGCGTGGTATTAGAAAACATACGAAATATATAAGTAACAAAAAGCTACGTATCCCTCGGGAACCGGACACCTCGGGGATGAAGCTTATCCCATGTATACTCCAGACTTTGTTTTACATCTGTGCCAAATTTCCATAAGATATGTTGAACCGTTGCAGAATGATCGAGTAAACATTAAAAAACTAAATTAATGAATCCCACGGGAACCGTAACTTATCCCGGGATAAAAAGTAGCCTATGTGTTCTTCCAGACTATGCTCTAAACCTGTGCCAAAATTCATGGAGATCCGTTCCGCCGTTTAGGCTACAAACTCTAACAAACATCCATCTAAACTTTCGCATTTATAATATTAGTAAGATTAACATAGGTAAATACAACAAACTTTATTGATATTTATATCGTATATAGCTATATTGTTAAAAAAGGGTTAGTAATGCCACCAAATTCATTTCCTCGTCCCTTCTTTCCCATAATTTGTAAGAGGGCGCGCTATACTGCAGGGCGAATTTTAAACCAAAGCCGCATTCGTAGAGTAAAAAATAACCAATTATGCTTAAGTGAGAGGGTGAAAAGAGAGCTCAAGGGTTGCTCTTCCCCTTTTAATACCGTTTTATCTTTTTGCATAACGTCTTTAGGCTTATCACCGTCACACCAGATGGAGGGTAAAATAATGAATTTTATATGAACGTAATGCTTTTTTTAGAATCATAACATTGTAAATTAATTCACAAATAGCTGTACCTCGTGACTTTACCCGTCTATAGATCAGCAAGGAACTCTTTATTACGACAAACATGACAAATAAATAAAATAAGACATAATAATAATGGCGTGTAATGAACTGCAAAGACTTCTTTTATAAGTGGTACAAATTTTATTCTCCACAAAAATACAGGAAACTTTATGTTTCACAATAAGTGCACATCTCTGCGTGTTGCGGGAGCGCTTCCAGTCGGCGGTCGCTCGCTAAATGAATTGTTGGGAAACTTGTACCCGTCGCCGTCGCGCCGTAAATTCCGCCCGAAGGCAAACTTCCCAACTCCTGACTTCGCCGAGTGAATGTTTTATCGTAAAAAAGCTTTATGTCTCGGGTACAGGTGAATTTATTTTGAATCTTGGTTGAGTTTTTTTCGTGTTCTTTATTCAGTTTCGAAATTGCCCCGTTTCACTTCTTAATGAAATTTTCTGCTTTCCAAATTGGCGCGATTGTGTAATGTATTTATTTATATTTATGTTGCGGTGTAAGGTAACAGTAATGAATGAAATAAATACAGACTGAAGCAGAGATTAGTAGGCAATTTTACGAACCTACATACTTTTGACACTGTCCCCCGTCCTTCCACGAAAATAATCTTAGGAGACTCAGACTGCATACAAGCTTATCAACTTGTATTACGGCGCAAAACAATAAACAATACTTCTATTTAAGTCTACTGTCTATTCCAATTTCGTCAACATCGAGGGGGATTTGTTAGATTTCACCTGTCGTTTTTCATTAATAGTTCTCCAATAGACGTTACCGTGAGACATCTTATCGTGATTCCTTTGCAAATAAATGCAAAGGTGTTCCCGAGACTCGTCAGATGAAGGAAGATTTCGATTTGCGGATTTCTGAAGCGAAACTTTTACGTTGCAAGAATTTAATTAAAGAATCGCCGGGGAAAGGCCGACGTAATTAAAAGTGTGCTCCATTCGACGGATATTTCACTAAGAATTCATCGAAGGGAAAAATGTAATGATGGAAATGTGGAAATAATTTGTATCTACTGCAAATGGAAATGGAAAATTCCAGAAATTTCGTAAAACCATCTTTTGTTTCTTTTTTAGTCAGATTATTTTATATTATAATCATTTTCACTATTGTATTTTCTACTGATTATGTATTTATTTGTTAAACGATACAAGTAATCGTAAAATCGATGTCTTTTAACTCTACTTCAATAAATGTCGGTTCGCTTAATCCTTATTCATGTCTAGACCAATTATAGAGTCTAACATAAGGGCAAGTTGATGATATTAGAGAAAAAGACATTATATTGAAATGGTAATTACAGTTTTTTTTTTGTTAAAGTTTTACGGAATTAGAAGTAGCAATTTTAAACGAATTCTCTTAGTTTTCGAGACTAAATTTTCAAATAGATAGCTGTGTTGTTATGAGTAGAATCAAATTTATTATTATGATGGTTCCTTTAGATAACGTTATTATGATAATTATGTTAAAATTCCGCGAGAGACGGAGTAAGACCTTCAGAGGCTGTAAACCTTTTACAAATTACGTCTGAGAGAAAATCAATAACTCGAGTACATTTTGTTTTGAAATTTACTTACTTTGTTCAATATCAAAATTTCATTAATTACTAAAAATAGTTTTAAAAATGGTTTTAGTGTTTTAATTGGAATACTAAAAATATTTATTATAACTAAGCTTAGTAATAACGATAACCGGATTTAAACTTACATGTTGGTTATCGAAGCCTTCTAAAATCTTGTTCTACTCGTATATCTCATCAAAGTGCAAACTTCCCGCTTCCTTTTGACCAAAGTTACAAGTTTGCAGCCACCGTCTTATCGGAGGTTATTAAATATTCGGCTGTAACTTGGTAATATATCGCTTCATGTTTCGGTTATGGCTTACTACTAAATATAATTCGAAGTTAATTCGATTTTCGAATCCCATTATTTACCAGATATTTTCCGGAAAAAAACGACATCATGATACACCCCACATACATTATGCTAGGAAATTCAAAGAAATATGTCAAGTCAATCCGATCTATACCTGTGTGGTTGACTATGACATAGTTACGCCTAACTTAGGGTAGATTCCGAGCTCAGTAGGGACTTATCGTGAGCTGTTGCCTACGACACGGAATTCGAGAACATATCATTAAAATAAAAACAATTTAATACATCGTTAAAAAACCTGCATTTTTTAATCGAGTATTAAAAATCCTTAGAATTCTTTTCAAAAATCTTTCCAAGAAATTGTCGCTTCGTTAAACTCCAGCGGAAGAGACAAGCTACATTTAATGTGACAGTAATCTCCTAGAAGACATTCCCTGTAACTCTGGCAGCTCTATGTTGCCATAAATATACTATATCTTTTAACATCGACAATTTTTAAAATCAGTATTCGTTATTTGAAATTTTAGAGTGAAAAGCCAAGGTCAAAACTTGGCATATTAATAATGTGATTCATGAAATTTTATATTATTTTCTTGGCTGTTTATTGAAAAAAGCAATATGCTTAGTTTTCTTCGCTCCACTTTCTAGGTGTACATAAAACATGTTCATAAAGCCTTAAGCCTTTAGTCTACGTCTTATGAAATAGTTGTTCATATGTGGTTTTGATACCGCCGCCCGCTCAGCCTCGCTTACGAAGAATGAAAGTAATAAAATGTAGTGAATGTTCTGACTATTTGCATATCTATATGATGAAATCTTTCGACGCACATCTTATATGGCGCGTATTACTTTTTACGGTTCTTACCTGACTCGGCTTTATAGGTGATAAGTTTTAACTTCATTATTATGATTTCACATGATCCCAGTGTGTAGGTAAACGTTATTCTGTTCTCTACACCTACCGTTTATTTTAATTTACTTACGAAAATATCATATAGGCATATTTAATGTATTTTATGTGTTCAATTTCAACATTTTTTTTTGTTTTACAATATTTTATATGTGCAATGCTTTCCCACTACGAGGACAACACCACCTACAAGCGTTTAGATAATTGGATTTTAAGAGTCAAAGTTTATTGCTGCTTGGAATTATCTGCCATGTCACATCTCAATACATCCATTGCCTATCTAGTAAACAGCCTGTAAGAGTAAGCCAACCAGCAGCAGGTCTTTAATTTGCAAGCCAACATGGAGTATGTGCATGTGTGCAGGCGGCGTGTGGTCGCTGCGCAACCTGTCTATCAGCGTACCACGCGCGGTGCTGTCGGGCGAAGGTCGGGCGGCACTCCTGCGCTGTTCCTATGATCTGGAGGGCGCAGCGCTATACTCCATCCGCTGGTACCGCGCAGAAGACGAGTTCTACCGCTACGTGCCGCGTGAGATGCCGCCCACCATGGTCTTCCCGCTCCCAGGAGCCTCCGTCGATGTAAGCACCTCATTTACTGATATACGTAACATAGAATAGCTCTTTATTTAAAAATAAACCGTAGTGTTCATGGTCTATTCTTAAATATACAATAGTAAGTAAATTAAAATTCAATTTTAGCGTATTAATACCAGGTTACGTTCCAAATCATTTCAATAAACTATGCCTGTGAACAAAGCCAGAATAATTATGAGCACAACCGCATATGTGGTTAATTATTGCTCATGCTTATTCAATAATTATTTCAACATAACGCTATCATTATTTTACTGAAGCACGTCATTTTTGCTGTATCCATACCTACATTCTCATTACAATTAATTACTTATTCAATTGTTTTAAGTCACGCATTAACTAGGATCGAAGCAGTTTTAACATGGAATGTTTCTTGTGTCTGTGCTACATTGTGATCAGTAGTATGTTTGTCCACTAGTTGGCGCAGTCGGACCACCAGCAGGTGCGCATCGTGAATATGAACCGGCGGCTGAGCGGTGACTACCAGTGCGAGGTGTCCGCGGACGCGCCGCTCTTCCATACCGACATACGCTCCGCGCCGCTCACTGTAGTCGGTACGTCACAAACTGCTTTATAAAGAGACGCTTTACGAAGTTTAGAGAAAGCAGATATAACGTACTTGTTTCCTTTAGTACAGTAATTAATATTATATGTAGACCCGCCGTTCCGAGCGCCTCGACTTCTGGTGTCGCGGCTGAGTTACGCACGCAACGACCTGCTGCAGGCCAACTGCTCCGTCGACGAGGCCTACCCCGCGCCCAACATCACCTGGACCATCGATGGCCATAAGGTATCATTATACGAATATTGAAACATTTCAACATTCTGATATCAAAGCCTGTTATCTGAGTCTAGTTAAATCCATTTTCATCAAATTTAAAAGTAAATTTTACCCAGAATGTACACATCGATAGACTTGCACTCTTGCAACTTCACTTCAATTGTTTTATAGCAATTTGTGTGCAAACCGGCGCGTGTAAAAGGCAGTGCTCTCTCCAGATAGCTGAGACAATCTCGTGGCAGTCGCCGGAGCAGGACTTCAAGGAGCGCGGCGCGTTCAGTCAGCTGGAAGTGAGCGTCGTGGAGAGCTTGCAGTACGGCGGCGAGCGGGCGCGGCACGCGGGGCACTCGGGGGATGGGGAGCATTTCGCATACCGCGCAGACAACGAGCCCGAGAAGCGAGAAGTCCTAAGGTAAAATTGTGTTTCTTTCCATTTCACTAGATTGTAGGTCTACAAAAAAAATCATCTCATTATTGTATAACTAACTTGTTGTTTTTCTGTGAGTTCAGATACACTCTGTCGGCGCCGGCGAGCGGTCAGTTCGCGCTGGGCTGCGTGGCCACCATCTACGACGTATACGCGCGCGGCAGCGAACAGGCGCACGTCAGAGAGGACAGCCCGCGCCCTGCCTCCGTCACCGGGGAGGACTCCTCTGGTAATCCACACGTTTTTACTATACGAGTATTATAATCCATCCTTATTTATTTATGGCTCAATTAGATTTAATGTAACAGTGAGTGCATATGGCAAGTGTGTCAGCAAAAATATTAACAATAGTTTCTTTATCTACAGGTATCCAGACGCTATGCAGTTTCGTGCTGACGTGTGTTTGTGCGTGCGTTGCGCTGCTGAGGGGGTTATGACCCCCCGAGCCCTCGCCCGCCGCCCCGCGCCGGCGCGCCCTCTAACGCGCTCAAACTGAATGTTGTGATAGATAATAATAGTTGGTGATGTAAAGACGCGCTCGCGGAGCAGCGGCCGCTCTGCACTCGGTACATCTATGTATTTATGTACGTGTCAATTCCGAGTAGATGTTGACTCGCTGGTCGCAGGCCGCAGGTCGCGGGACGTCGGCGTCGCGTCAACTAGTCGTATAAGATACACTTATTAAATGTTGCAGATTGCTATATGTAAATAAAGTCGTGAGTTATCAAAATGTCTTATTTATTTGTCCAACAAACATTTAATTTAATAATGACTCTGGTTAATTTCAGTGTCAAGTGCTATTAAAGTCAACTTAATCCAAATTTCTTAAGAGCGGTCTCACATTTTTGACTAAAACTATCGCACAACTGTTTTACGATTGTCGATTGTCTTGCAGCCCATATCAACCAAGAGCAAGTCCACTAAATGCTACTCTCGTTCAAAGGTTCTTCGTTCACTTTGAGAGGTCTGAGATCGATCAGTAATTAATCACGTCCTTCATTAAGTAGTTTCAGTTCGTGCGGAACGCTGAGCCTTTCTTTACTTTCATTATTCTTAAGAACAGTATCCAATTATAAAGAAATGCCTGACCGCACATTATTTCTAATTGAATACTTCAAAGTTACAGCTCCGTAGGATTCCGAGAACAAGACTCGACCAAGTTTGACCTTTGCGGTGCGCTACCAATATTTATTGGGTAGATATAATTTTCGATAAAGTTTTCTAAATACTATTAAAATGGAGAATCAGGACTGCGGTAACCAAGATAAGTGGAAACTGAACATCATTGAAGTGATAAAGCCACCGTGTAGTGTATTTTTACAGATTTAGTAAGTTTTGAATGAAGAAACTATTTTTTAACTACGAGTAAGTAATAGTAGACACCCTTTAAATGCTTTTGAATAAGAGTTTATAGCTTTTGCTAATTTCTAATATTTAGAAAATGACAATTTTTTTTTTTAATTACGAAAGCAAAATAGGTATTAGGGGAATGATCAAATGTAACCGAGTATAAACAGTTCTCCGATAGAGCATAAATCAGGTTTATTGGATGTTTGGGACTCGAGTAGTTTGATAAAGTCCTTAAACGCTGACCACTAACTACCTCCGGGCGGTCGCCGGCGGCGGCCGGAGCTCCCGCTGAATATGCTAATGACCAAACCGACCCTTTAACAGTTTTAGAAGATAACTTAATTCGTAAAAACATCTTCCAACATCAAGCAATATTAATTTCTAATTGAATTATTAATACAAAGATTTTAAAACAATATTCTTATCTAAGTTGATCAGAATTTGCAAAAAGCAGTTGAACGTCTGTAGAAGTTAGCTACAGTAAAAGCTTTGCGCAATAGTCAAGAGACTGTTCTGATGGCTGCAAGCGCCACTTCGATAGTTTTCCAGGTTAATATGATGTAGTGTAAAGATTCCATTGGGAAATTTCCACGTCGTTTAGCAGCAAATATAAAGCAAATAGCGGATAGAGCGGCGTCGCGTCCCGCGGGCGCTGCGCCTCACAAAGCGTTATAGAGCACGCGGCATTACCTTCCCACTTTCCCACTCTCACTCGACTTACTCTGGATGTAAGACGTACTTTAAACTTTTTATTGACACATTTATCTCCATTACTTGCAAACATCGCACAAGAAAGTGTTACGAGAAATCGACTGTTAGAATAGCGTGTTTCTTTTATACTTAGATGAAACGAAGACAGGCGTGAAAGCAGATTATCTTAAAAACAAACATAACGGTGAAGTCTAGTATATTCGATAGTCACTTAACGTCAAAATTCCTGACCGATCCACAGTTTTTTTACAATGTTAACATTGAGGAAATAATTTGTCTTACTTATTTATCTCTGTTGATTTACTGTACTGGCTTAAGTGACTTAAACAAAAGCCTTTTCGATGCCTTTTCGTTAAGATACGAAGTTCAAGTCAAAGTTGGTGACAAGGCGCGGGGCGACAAAAAGTTTGTCATTTCCTTTGTGTCGGAGCTGAGAAAAGTTTCATCGGTTTGTCGTCTGCGGCGCTAGTGTCGGACGCGATGTTACTAAAGATTCCGGTCAATGATTTCATTATTATTCTTCTTTTGTTCGACTTCGGAGAAAAGAATATTTTACTTTTAAAACTAGACACTTATTGATGTTGGATAAGGAAGGAAATGTTCGACTTAGTTTTAGGTCATTCTCTGTACTTCTCTCTCTATGTGTCCAATAATTAATTTACTATGATTTAGTAAGACATTTCCTGTGAGAGTTACAATTAAATTAGAAATTTCTAGTATGTTCAATACTGTAGAAAGTTTTTTTTTTAGTATTAAGAACACAAGAAAAATCTTTTAAAGCATTACTTTTAGGAGTATTATCTTACACAATACACTAGTCAACATATAAATAGTATAAGGGAAGTCGAGGGAACTTCAACAAAAGCCTCAATATGGAGTAAGTAAGGAGCCGGCTATTCTGCACGTTTAGTAGAGCTTCTTTTGAAATTGAATATTATTGTGAAAGTCGCCGGAAAACGCGCGGCAAATATTCACTAGACACTATCAAACCTTTTGTAGCCTTCCTTATGATGACTGTTATTGCAAATGTTTCGATAATATAAATATATTGTATTCTTAAACAAAAAACACTGTATATGGTTGATTTACGTATACTTGATAACGATTGTTTACTTGCTAAAACATAATTTCAGTAAACAATGAAGTCAAAAGTCTACTATTATCTATTTGTTGACATTTAAACAAGTAATTACTTGATTATATAAATAATGGCGTTATTCTTATACACGGTTTTACTGTTTTTTTGTTTTGCATCGTCAAGTGGCAAACATGTGGCCTGAATTGGCCAATTTAGAAAACAATGATATGCAATGATATGCCAAATTTGAAAACTTAAATCGAAGGAGAAAGGGACGCACAGAAACAGGATCTTTCCCTGAGAAAAAATGGGTAGGGAAAGGGGGTTTAAATTAGGCCTACGGCTGGCAAAATGTTGTATTTTCATTCCTGAGGAAAAAAATACATTTTCAATATGAGAAATCCAATAGAACGTGTGTGTTATTTAATTTAAGCTGTGGTGTTTCCGTGTCGTTTGCGAGCAAATCCCGCGACACAAGGATATAAACGTCAGGTGATTCCCGCGGGAATGTGACGTGTTTAGCTAAATCAAACCTCTATCACACCAACATTGTGTTTATTCCAATTTCTTTAGATACTATTATAAACGTATGTTTTTAATGATGTTTAAATATGTAGTTAATTATAAATGTAAATGAGAAATTCAGTGAATACATTTTAAAGAGTGTAATTTATTGAGTATAATAGAAAATATTCAAATCCAGAGTTTAACATCTGATTTTTTCCTTTAACCACACAATGAGAATACAAAAAGACTACAAGACAATTGTACGATAAAATAATATGTTTTACTTTACCATTTCAATAGTCGGGTCGTCGGTCGTGATGTTACGACTGTGTAAATTGAAAATAAAGCCGTAAATCTTGTTGACCCATTTATCAGCGCGGCCGAAACGCGAAGCCGCTTCCCCTATTCGGTAATTTTCTGAAAACTTTCTGTTGATACATTTAAAAAGTTCATTATCATTTAAGAACTTTCATTCCTTGTGTAAACATTCTAGTACGTTGCTGTCAGCTGTAATACTATTGTCATATAGATAAGATTATATAGACTTTGACAAGTGTTAAGTTCTATAATTATTTAGTCCAATGACTCGGTGCTTTCGGACACATCGGGTAAAGCTGCATGGAATGTTAATTTATTCAAGCGAAAGCTTTTACAAGACCGAAGTTTCTTTTGTAACGAAACACTTGGTACAATGTAGCTCGTCGCTTGTTAACAGCTGTAGCCCTGACACACAAACCGGGGCACAGTTGTATGGAAACAATCGCGAGCCGCGCCATTGTGTCCGACAAAAGGGCAAACTGAGTAACATTTTAAAAGTGTTGCCTCAGGCCACGGAACGTTTTAAAATGTGTAACCTTTCTTGCATATTGCCCCGTGTCCGACCGACAAAAACTACGTGACGATTTAACAAATATCATAGCCAACGCTTCCAAGTTAGTATTTAATTTTTGTGAATATGTTTAAAGTAAAACTAGTGTTTGTCCACGACTACTTCTGCACAGAAAAAAAAGTTACTTACAACATTTCCGCGTGCATCAGCTACACTCCCGACAAAATCATTCTAGCCGTTCCAAAGATTATACAGTTAAAAAAATAAAATTTGATTATTCTTCTACACAAATACGTTATGTCCTAGAAATGTTTTTATTTTCAACATAATTTTTCCTGTAAGGATATTAAAGATATCATGAATTATATTTTTAAATCATAAATACAACGAAGCGAGTAAAACGTAATATTACTCTTTTGTTGACAAAATAAATTAAAGGCTTATTGTATGAATACCGATATTATTTTCCGATCAGAGCGGACGTATTATTCCGTAGAAGGAAAAAAGCCTCTTACCTATTGGAGAGAAATAATATTTTGGAAAGTAAAAACATGCTCGAAGCTATTTCGTTACTTTAGAAATGTGCCTCGGAAGTAATCTCTTTACTGAGACATGTTTTATGAAAAAACAAATGTCAATCGGGAAAGATAGGTCTTTGCTGTCTTTTTAGTTCAATAGATAATTTAACAGCATACGTATAAAGTGTAACGACTAGCTTTATCTCATGGCGTTACATGCTTAGCTAATAAGAAATAAGTAAAATTTCAATAACTATTTGCCTTGACAACCGTATGTAGCCGTAAATGTAACTTCTACGGTTTCATCATATCAAAACTAAATTATTATATCATATTCAATATCAATTACTATAAATTGTTATATTAAATGATGTAATAACAGTCATTATCCATTATGTTTCTCGAGTACATGCCCTGCAATGAATTTCATGCACATCATTCAGCGACTGAGAGCATTGTGTTTGTGTTCATATAGAGACAATGCAGCTGCTTCGAAACATATTTGTCATTTCCTACAATACTTTGCTGCATTCTCTCAGTAAGACAATACGCTATTTTGTCACAAAAACCAATTGTGTTGCTGATCAAAGTTACTTTACTCTTTGTGTACTTATACAATACTCCGGGATGCTGAATTACGAGTACGAACGAAAAACTACAATTACTATTTGGTTACTCACTATTTTCAGGTAAGGAGTCATGATTTAGAAAATTACGTTTATAAAAATTTCTAGAAA